CTATCTTACAGTATACTTGTAATATGTTATATAAATTAATAATTACTTCTCAAATGCGTAAGCGCGTTCAGGCACATTAACACATTTTATGTTTTTTATGAAACTTAATAATTTTATTTTATTTTGAACAATATATTATAATTGCAATATATATATACGACAGTTATAATTTGCTAACTTCTATTATTATATTGTTGATCGTTTTACAGAATAGCTACCTATAATTGTATCCCTAAACCCCTTAAGCGTCTTGATTTTTCTTTGTCCTAACTATACAATTAAAATCCCGAAGAATGCTATAAGACGCATCATAACAACAATATGAATACGACTAGATTCTTTGTATACTTATAGCTTGAATTTCTATGAACGTTTTTATAACTATTCATATGTATTGAATAAAATAAAACAATAAGTTATTTAATAGAATAATAAATCTAAAATAAAGGTTTGTGGTTATGATGTTTCGCTGAATTTGCCTATTATATTTTGGAAGCGAAAAATCACAAGTTAAGTTAACACATATACATATTACATAAATATAATCATGATAGTAAATTATAATATTTATATTGTATGCCGAGTGCTTTGAAACAATAAAAAACGTGGCTAAACGGACTTAGGCGTGAGCCAGGTGGTTGGTTCAGTATGTTTTTGAATGAGAATATTAATCTCAATGGGAATCATGTTTGGTATTGGATATATTATTTGTTTTTTTTTTCATTAATGTCTCATGTGTTTTATTGAAAGATCGATTTAATTAAAAATGTACTAAGTTTATTGTATTTATTTTTATAATATAATTATATTAATATTACAAGCAATACGAATATTTCATTTTAAATGAGGTAAATGTCTAAAATCACAAGGCATTATTCATAATTTTTTCTTTACTTATACCATTTATCAGGCCAAAAGATCAAGTAATTCATTTTATTGTACGGTATAGGTAAATTACAAAATTACAAAATTACAATTGATAGTTAAGTTAATTATTAAATTTTTATTGATAACACATATGCTTTCGATTAAGTATTAACAATTATTAATCTTAATTACGATTTTTATATAACTGCTGCAGTATAAATAATATATTTTTGATTATTTGGAAATTATTGGTCTAAATGTATACCCATTTATAACTATGTTCATTATTATACTATAAGGAATAAAAGAAAAACAATTTGGTCGACTTATTTTTATAAATATTTAAAAAAGATATTTACAACGTATATGTTATACAATAATTCAACTAATAAATTGTATAACTTAGTTTAAAAAAAATCTGTAGATACCTGTTAAAAAAAACTACAAACACTGAAATAGGTTAAATAATAATTGATACTATTGATTTAAGGCGTCTTATAATCAATTTCTTTTTATCCTTTTGGAATATCCTAGTAGAGTTTAATAGACATTCTGGGCACTAAAAGGAGGGGAGTTTCCCGTTTCCACCATAGCCCTTTTCCGCCAAAAACGAAAAAGGTACGATTCCCGTTTCCACCAAAAGCCATTTCTACCAAAAAAAGTTTAGAAACCATTGATTTTAATTTTTAAGTAATATTGAATATATGTTATGGTATGTGTAAAAAACATTTGTAATGTATACACTTATAATCGTCGATAATAACGGTTAATAATAACGGTACACTGTTTGATGTACTGTATCATAGTTTATTTATAATTCGTACACAATAATTATCTGACAAATATTAAATTCTTATATTTCCATTTAGTATCTGTTTTTTTTTTTTGTCACTAGAACACTTAAACGTTCTTATTTACTTACGTTCTTAAAATGGAATTTGTTGTAAGTAAAAGAGGTAAAACAATGTTGATTTTTGATGGGTTTAAATATGTTTTTGGTTATATGTCACAAACAAATGTAACTCAGTGGAGATTTTTTATGAAAAATTGTCGGGCCAATATTTTTGAAAAAGAAAAAGAAATACCTGCATCGAAAGGTACGTTTTTTATCTACGAGTAAAATAAATATATTTATTTAATTATTTATTTATTTATGAAAAATTAAATTAATTTATTCTTTATTATAGGTGATCATGTAGACAATTGTTCCGTCAAAAATATAGATCGTCAAAAATTAGCAACGACATGTAAGCGGAGAGCTGTCGAAGATATTTGTCAAAGACCTAGATAAATAATAATAGGTGAGATTCAATTATTAAACATAAATAACATTAGTCCAAATGTTATTAGAACAACTGTTTTTAAGACGAAATTAATGATTTTGGAGTTTCCTCAACAATAACAACAAATGATATCTCTGCATTACGAAAAAGTGTATACCGTGCTCGTCGTCAGATTTTACCTATGAATCCAACATATATAGCTGATATTCATCGTGCTGTAAGTTCAGTTAATACTTTGACGACTAATGATGAAGAATTTTTGTTAGCGAATGATGACATTTCTAGTATAATAATATTTTCCTGCAATACCAATTTAAAAATGTTATGTAAATCTGAAGTAATCTATGTTGACGGCACATTTTCATATTGCCATTATTATTTACCTAATTACTTACAATATATGGGTTAGTTAATACGTATTATATACCTTTAGTATTTGTTTACTAAAAGATAAAAATATCGAATCATATAAGGAAGCATTATTTCAAGTTGTTCAAAAATGTTTAAATTTAAATTTAATATTCATATTAATTAATATTTCATATTATAATTTATTAATACTTATGAATGTAATTTTTTAATGTAAACGTAATTTTTTAAAACTTGAAATACCATATACTCGTATTATAATTTATATTTTTTGTGACATTTTTAAATATTTAAAAATGACGATATGTGTTTTTTCAAAACTTTATCGAGACAATATTTGACCTATCCTTGTTTTTTACTTTATAAATAGTTAAATAAAATGGATGTATTATAATATGAAATTATACAATACTTTAAAAACTCTAATATAATTGTACCTATATTCGACTAATAAATTATTATTATCTACTTGTATTAAAATTTATAATGAAAGAATATGTAAATTGTACATGGTTCCCAAACGTCTTATCACAAAAATAAATTTTGGTGGAAACGGGAATCATACCTTTTTCGTTTCTGGTGATATAGGACTGTGCGTAAATTAAGGAACCGGATTTTTGGCGGAAAAGGTACATGCCCAAAAGGAGTTATATCATTCCGATGCCCTTAATTGTTTCATTCCATTATCTCCGCTTAGGTCTAGATTATTATATATATATTATATAGTAAGTTGCTATGTATAGAACTACTATTAGTAACAAAGGTATTATTTTATACAATATTTATACACATACACACACATGGATTGGATGGTATAATTCATTTTTAACATTAATCAGTTGCACGAAATCAATAATATGACTACTTATAAATATATTGAGTAGTTAAATAGACCTGTGTATTTCTAAAATGTTAAAATAATTAATACTTGCTGCGTATATACAGTTTCTACAGAAAAATATATAGATTTATCAAAAATAATATTACAAATGGTTTGGTTGGCAACTTACATTGTACCAAAGTTGTTTTTTATACATCAAATGTATACAAGATATGACACAATATAGTTACCAAGTTAGCTCAAGAGGAGTCTGAAATATCCGCTCAACCAATCAACAATATATATTTTTCTTTAACAATAGTACTCTTCAGTTAGATACAATATTCATTATAAAAATATTGAAATGTATAGTTCCTTGATAATCATGCCTCAGAGTGCTAAAACCCCATAAAACATTTATTATCTATATTCTATGTAATGCACTAGAAATACCCAATGAGATTATAAAATTATTACGTCTGATTTACCTTCATTATCCCTGTAAGAATCACAAGTCAATTTTACTTTAAAAGATCATTTGCTAGAGAGTTTGATATTTATCACTACAATGTCAGTAGAAATTTAGAACTTATTTTGTAAAAAACTTGTCTAATTCAAAACTATTAGATTTCTTATTATATCTTGCGGTTATGTTGTTCTTTATTTTTTTTTTTAAATATATCTGCGAATTATGTTAGAAAATAAATTATATTAATTTTTATAATAAATAGTTTTTCAAAAATTTTTATTGTGCTTCAATCTTTAAAAAATATTTTTATCGTTTTAAAACTATTTTATAACGTGCTATACAATTTTGAATTATAAGAATACAGCAAATATAAGATTCTTAATTAAATATATCTTCAATTTTTGTAACTCGTACGCATTTCATAATTTCATAACTTAATAAAAATTTCGTCATGTATCAGATTCTAGCTCTGAATAATATTTCTAGTTGTAAAAAACTTGTTTTTGAATAGATTTTGGTACAATATCACTGAGGCTTGTGTTTTCAACTAGAATTAAAAAAAAAAAAAAAAAGAATTAAAGCATGATGTAAACAGGACATATTCATATTTTACAAATACTAAATTTACATGAAAATATAAAACAATAATTTAATATTTATTTATTTAAACTAATCATTAAATTTACATTGCAATTTGTCTTCTTTTAAATATAAAAAAAAGTTACCGGTCCAATTCGTTGATAAATTAACTGTTTTTTTTCTATATATTTTATAATACCATTTATAATAAATATATTCTAGTATTTATAATTAACAATATTATAATATTTAATAATACCAAAAATGAATAGATAACGAAGAACCAATTAATTATCATAACAATATCATTATATATATATATTTAGTTTTTTGTTCATATATAATATGCAAGTAGTTTTTATTCAAATAATATACCACGATTAATTATTACAGAAAAAAAAAATTAACTACTGATTTTCTTGATAAAACCAATTATTCAATTTGTTATATCAAAAACATTATTGAACAAAAATACACGGAGAAGATGTACTAGTATTCATATATAGTTGTAACACCAAAAATATTATTTTGTGTACTTAGTCTAAAATTTATAAAAATATTTAAGAGCAACAAAATTATAATTTATACGAATTTTGTTTTCAAATTTTTGTAGTTACACTGGATGCATTTGAACTCCATGTTTCAACCCGCAACCGAGTACTGCTGACTAGTGCATCATGGTTAAGACGTTTCAGGCATATTTGCCGGACTGTCATAGGACTTACTCTTGCATACATTGCAGAGCCCATCTGGCCAATCACGACGAACTTATATCCAAGGTATGATACTAGTGGTAAGTGGTAATTTGGAAGGGAAAATTATGGTATAGGAAAAATAATAGAAGAAAACTGAGTAAGAACGAAATTGTAAAATATATATTTAACGATAAACTAGAATTCAACAGTCAGCTAATCAAAGTTGTTCCAGAATAAGTATTGTAATTGTCACTCATGAACGTAACTTGGAAATTTATTAGGGGGGGGGGGGCAAATATATAGTTACAAATCAACTATTTTGTATAGTTAACCTTACTTTACTTAATTGTAAATTTATGTTCACATCACCATTTATTATATATTAGTATATATTAGTATAAGATGATCAATATTACTAAGTAATAAAATAAATCAAACATAAATAAATAGACTTAAAAGTTTTTAATATTTTATAAGTTTTAAACAAAAATTCCGCTTTACTACCTAAATCTTATTATATAAAATTATTCATTATTCATTATCTAGCATGTTAGATAAACTAAAATTGAAAATTAAGATTTAAAAACAACTATAGTTATAGATATAACCAGCTGTTTTGTACTTATTATAAAACAAGATACATTAAACATCAGAGGAGGAACTGCCCCTCCTAATTTATTATAAGGGGGGGCAATACCTCCTTGCCCTTCCAGTTTACGTCTAAGTAATCACTGACCGCACTCAAATGCATTTTAATTCTAGTTGAAAATAAGGTTTTATTTTTATTATCAAAATATATATTGTCTATACGCTTATTAAAAAATTATATAATTATTTTACTATCATAGTCAAATGGAGGATAAAACAATTTTAAGTAAAAAATATGTAATTGAAAAATTGAATAACGTTGTGTGCTTCATACCTGTTGATAAATTGATATCAGAAATATTAAAAACAAACAGAAATACATAACATATATGATATTTAGTATAATATACTCATATATAAATATACATAAACAAAATTTCATAATTATTATACAAATGATGATGGATCAGTTATGAATTATTCAAGTATTTAAATACTTTTAAATGTTTTCGTCGATCAATAAAACTTAGTGTTATATTTAATTTTTTTATACACTATAAAAATCAACTGTTGTACGGATATAATTAAATTTCCTTTGTTATGAGTGTATTTTTTTATTTTATGTTTTCTTTCAAAATTTCTCTATAATGCAATTTTATTACGCACAATACTTCCTCTCGCACAGAAATTTTTATAATCATATCGATTAAAGACCATTATATGAGTTAATGTTTTGTATTATAATCTCTGCGGAATTATATAGGTCAATCTGGTATTATAACCATTACATGGTACGAGCTCACTTGAAAGGTTAAAACTTTAAAGGGACCTATTTGGACATATATTATAAGCAGACATTTAGTTTTGTATTTTGTATTTTATCTATTATATTATTATAGTGCATATTATTATATAAAACATTAAATATCGCATATGGTTTTCGTTTCGTTTAACAACTGATCGCATTTATATATTTCTGTATTTTATGAATTAAAATCTAAATATTTGTTCACGATATATGCTTTTGATGTTAATGTTAAAAGCTTTATAATTGAAAATAGGTTAACAGAGAACGTAATTTTTACAAGCTCAGCAGACATTTAAAGAACCGTTTTTATTTAAGATACTCTGTGAAGTAACGCTTTCAGTTGGTGCGATTCCCTGCCGGATTTGACCCATTTTGTAAGTTTATTTTTAAAATCCAATTTAAGCTGTTGTGGCCAAAGTCATTGATATATTGACGATGTATTTACACTTATTTATTTATTATTATACTCCTTAAACAATAACATTAATAATTATTCGTATCTAGAAGATAGTATTATTTAAATTTCCATATAAATGATGTATGATAATTAATATTTATATGTTACTTAATTTATTTTAAATTAAAACTGTCATACTTTGTACAAGTTATGATTATTCCTTGAAGACTATCTATTTTTTGGCTTTCCTCTTCATCTTTTACCTTCAACGTTCATAATAACAACTCTTACTGCATTTGTTTCCTATTGTCTCATCACATGTCTAAACCATCTCAGTCTAGTTTCTCTCATCTTGTCCACTATAAACGCTACACCAATACTGCCTCTCACATATTTGTTCTTTATTCTATCTTCTCTTTTCACTCCATTCAAAAAAAAGTTATGATTATACAATAAAAATTAATATTGTTTAATTAAATTATAATTTTTGTTTTTAATTTGTCGAACTGTGAAATTTTTTTTGAGGAAATTCCCAGTCCCTCCCTCAAAAAAATCTAAATAAACCCCTCTGAGCGCATTTTTATTTTTAATGAATTAGCTATTTATTTGACTGCAAGATTATTTCAGTAAAAAACATTTATTTTTTAACCCTTTCGAGTATCGAATGACGTTCGTATTTTTCTACGCTCCATAGTAAAAGGAGATTGCTGGGAAGGATTAGGAATAAAAGGCTGTGTGGTCTCACGACGGGAGACTGTTTTGATCCGAAAAGCCTAGAGTATGTATAATCTGAACAGGTCGGTTACACGTGCCGTTGGCGCGCCCTATATACATCAGCAATAATAGACGATGGTGTGTGACGTCACTGTATAATACTCGAAACTTAACCATGTTGATGTTTTTGTTTGTCGTTTATCGACGGCAGCAGCGGATTGTTTGTATCTGCGCAATACTTACTCGGTCATCAGTATATTGTGTGTACTATACGCTACACTCGCTTTTATAGATAGCGCTCGTCAGTTCTACTGAATATATATGTGTATTTGTTATATTAAATATCATACATATTATATAATTTATTATACATAGTACCTACATAGTTTAATTTTTAGTACATACTGTATACATAACTTACATAAGTCCCGTATCGTGTGTTTACTATTTACATATAGTAGTTCAACAAGTACTTAATTCATCATACGGTTCGATGTCCTTACACATGAATCTACACATACTATTAAATTATAATTTTACGTATGTATAAATTAAATTAAACGAGTTTCTTATGTTTAGTTCGATTAGTTGAAAAACGATCAAGCTTCTGGAAACCACGTGTTCGCAATAATATTTATAAGTAATAAGTAAATTTAAATTTTACTAAATAGAAAATAATATAATATATAAAAAAAAATAAATAATAATAATATTATAATATAATATAATAATATATATTATAATATTTATTATTTAAATTTTACTTATAAATATTATTCGTATTAACCTCAATGACTAAGAAATATTCTAATTTACTATGTCATTTAATACGAACATACTATTAAAAAAAATAGTTTAAGCTCATAATTAATATATTGTAACAACAAGGAACTTTTGTAGCTACAAAAAAGTGCTATAACTCTATATCAAATAATATAGATTGTGTTAATAATATGTTTTTTATACTGCAAGTACAAGTGTACAATTGCATGTCGTCATAAGTATCACGTTTGGTTATGGCGTATGTATCAAACAAAGTTGTGACAGTTAAAATTTGTTAAGTCTGTTAACTGCAGTTCTCTTGTTTCTTTTCTATGAGCTAATGTAACGCAATATATTTTACAATATGCTCTAACCAAAACCGTTTTAATTAGTATCAAGTTATTGTATTGTATTATTCGTGTAATATATGCATTATTATTATGCTGTGCACGGAAACAATAAATTCTCGTTTATTCTATTATTTTGTTAAAAAGATTAAGAAAAACTAATCACAGGCATTGCAATTGAGATAAGTTTTAAAATAAAATGCTATGTTTTTCTATTCTAACAAGATAAAATGAATGCAGTTGCGTCATTTGTTTTTGAGAGGGGGCAAAAGTTTTGACCTGCCCATAATATAACGAAAAAAAACTGCTCGTTAACTATTACATTACAATTACATTAATGAAATACTATAGTAATAAAATACTTATAGAAAATAGAAGAATTATCCATAATATAATATAAAGAATTAAATAATTTAAAAAGTTAGTTCCTAGCGGACTTGCAGCCCATATCCGGCCCGACAACGGCCCGCTAATGATAAGGGGGGAATCCCCCCCCAATGACGTGACTGAATTAATGGTCCCATAAACAACAAAAATAGTATTAATTTTATTAAAAATGTTTATGAATAAGTTTTATATCTAATATTTTATTTTTATTTTATATTTTTTTACATTTTTTTTTTTTAATAATATTACATGAATAATAATTGTAGATCTATATACCGTTTCTAATTCTTATTTATTATACCGTACAACGTTCCTTGACGTCGACGTCTCAATATCAATATAAATATCGTTTATTTGGCATGTGCTTAATATTATATATAACTTGGAAATTTATTGGGGGGGGGGGGGGCAAAAATATAATTACATATCTAACGAAAAGGGTGTCCAATGCTAAATACAGCTTTACTACCTACATATTATTATATAAAATTATTCATTTTCCAACATTATGTTAAACAAGCGAAAATTTAAAATTAAGATTAAAAAAAAAAAAATGTTATAGTAATAGCTATAACCAGCTATTTTGTACTTATTTTAAAACAAGGTTTATTAAATATCAGAGGAGGCACTGCCCTCATAATTTATTCTGGGGGGCAATTGCTCCCCTCCTTGCTCCCCCCATTTACGCGTATGTTAAAATTAATTATAACAATTACTGTAGGTTGCTATATATATATTTATTTGTAAGTATATCTACACGACTATATTTATTTTAAAAATTCTAAAACTATCTATGATTATACTACAGTAAAAAAATATAATAATTTGTGCTTAATATTCTGAATTTGTTACCAAACAAAATAATTATTTCATGAAATATAGTTCTCGAAATGTGACCTCATATATTCTCAATCGCTGTATTATATGTAGCATCTTGTAAGTATACATATACATATATAATTTAATGGTGGTAATGATAAATAACATTAAGGAGAGATAGATACATAGAGAGAGAGAGATAGAGAGAGAGACTGTACTTCAACGTTGTGAATTTTAATGTTCGTACAAATATTGTTGTGTA